CCCGATGCGGGACTCGATCCAGGGACTCCAGGATCATGACCTGAGCCGAAGGCAGTCGCTTAACCAACTGAGCCACCCAGGCGCCCCAGAAAAATACCTTTTTAATTCCCTTAAAGGCAATTTAGGAGAATATCCATTTTACCACACCCTTAATAACAATAAATACCATCCATTTTTAATTTTTGCCATTAAGTAAAGCATTGGGTGTTTATTATCTTTGCCCATATTAACTTATTTTTCTTAATGATTTGTAAGTACTATTTATACATTGACATTAGCTCTTCTCCTGTCATATATGTTGCAGTCACGGTTTTCTCAGTTTACCATTTGCCTTTTAATTTTGCCTATTATAGTTTCTGGCATACTGAATATTTTTTAGACCAGTTTGAATGTATATGTGGTCAACCCTTTCTTTTCTTTGTTATCCCTTCCAGTCCATTTATCTTTAGAAAATCTCCCCCTTTGAAAATCACATATCCAATTATATTTTATTCTAATTTTATACTTTGTTCAACATTAGAGTATAGGCTTTGAAATTTTTCCTTATGATTATGAAAATTTTCTTATCAACATCGGCATATTTTCTTGTCTAGCACTTCTAGCTTTACTATACTATTAAAAGTATTGGTATTTATTTTAAAGATTCCAATTGATTCCTCACTTCAGGTTTTACAGACATTTCACCAGAGGAGTTGAGGCTTGAATACCATAACTTCTTAACCAGCAATAACTTACAGAGTTATGTAAGTTTGTTTCCTATTCATCTACCTTGATACCAGATTAGCTGTTAATTACTGTCTTCTCTGTTTGTAGTGGCTTGCTTGTATGTTGGCAAAGTGGATGAGGTCTATAATTTTTCTCAAGACAAGGCTATTGTTATTTTTATTTCTAAATTACTTTCTTTGAAATTGGTTGGTTATCTAAAATGGTAATAATATATTTTGATTATATAACTAGGAATGTCACTATTTTTATTACAAATTATCCAGCGATCAGTCCAAAAAATTTAGACCCTTTCATCATTTGACATTTATGGAACGTCTCTTAGGTGCAAACACCATGATGAATGCTAGAAAAACAAAGTGAAAAAAGACACAGTCTGTTTATACATATTAACATTCTCATGTATCAGATGTCAAAAAATAAAAAAGCTGGGCTTGAATAAGTTTGGTGCCTAAAGGAAATGACATAAACTGTATTTTTGTGTTGTGTACAGTCATGATCAAACATTTCAACTAGTACACATGTTTGCCTCCCATCCCGATATCACCCTCTCTCTGCTGCCACATACTTGAGATTCTGAACCAGGTGACACCAGGAGTTGGAGAACAGGGAGGGAGCTACAGCTGGAACATCTTGGGCAAATTGTACAAGTTATGGGCCATAAAAATGTCTTATCAACTTTTTGTGATTTTGACAAACCACGTGAAGTTGTTGGAGAAACAAACAAACACTCAAAATTGACTCATTTTTTTCTGTCTTCTCTCTTCAGCTAAATTCCCTCCAACAGTTAATAAATCAATGGAGAAACAGAATAAATGAATTGAAGAGTCTAAATACATCAACTAACATAGCCTTGGTGAGTATTGGAGAGTTTTCTATGGAAGTATCTTATCTGTTGCTTTTTTGCAGAGAATTTCACTTTGGATTTGGAAAGCAAAACTAAAATCCTCTGTCAGGAATTATGATACACACATTCTCAATACTGTATCATCTTTTAAAGTCCTGGAATTGCTTTCTCTCTGATCCTTAGTCAGAAAAGCACAGATAACTTTGCTTTCCTAAAACTATTTTTAGGGTAAAGTTTTTTACTTCAGTGGTCTAGTTTTGAAAATATTACATAAATTCAAGTATATAAGGTTATCAGCATTTACAAAGAAATTGCTCTGGGGGCGCCTGGGTGGCTCAGTTGGTTAAGCGACTGCCTTCGGCTCAGGTCATGATCCTGGAGTCCCAGGATCGAGTCCCGCATCGGGCTCCCTGCTCGGCGGGGAGTCTGCTTCTCCCTCTGACCCTCCTCCCTCTCATGCTCTCTGTATCTCATTCTCTCTGTCTCAAATAAATAAATAAAATCTTTAAAAAAAAAAAAAAAGAAATTGCTCTGAAAAATGATCTGAATATACATTTAGACTAATGTATACTTTTGTGACTGAAAAACACTCACCATGTGTTCCCTGACTTATATAGAAATGCCTTTAGTAGATATATACCCATTTGTCTCCACAGACACATGGTCCTGACTGTAGCATATTCATTATCTCTGTCAATAAAGATACAATGTTTTTGGGGCGCCTGGGTGGCTCAGTCGTTAAGCGTCTGCCTTCGGCTCAGGTCATGATCCCAGAGTCCTGGGATCGAGCCCCGCATCCGGCTCCCTGCTCGGCGGGAAGCCTGCTTCTCCCTCTCCCACTCCCCCTGCTTGTGTTCCCTCTCTCGCTGTGTCTCTGTCTGTCAAATAAATAAATAAAATCTTTAAAAAATAAAAAATAAAAAAAAATAAAGATACAATGTTTTATTCCCATAAAAACTTAAGAACCTTATTTTGAAATAAGATATTTACAGTTTCTCAGGTGATGTTTCTACTTTCTGAAAAGGATATAAGAGTTGTGGTTGCCTAACTTAGTAAATGACTATGTGACCATTCCAGCACCCCACCCCTTTCTTAAATATGTACTTCCTAAACAGTTAGACTCTTGGGTAAGCTCATTTCTTCACTGTTTAGTTGTTATGATGCCATTAATTTTAGTAGGACTTCTTGGAAGTATTCTTCCTGTGTGAGAGGTGGCCCACCATCACCACTGCTAATGCAGAAGGGATAACTGAGTCCAAAGAACTGCAGAACTTCCCTTGGGGTTAGAACTTCCTTGCTTTTTGCCAGCTGCCTAGGGGCCCCTCCACAGGTGAGGGTCTTGGACAGTCCACCCACAAGGGGCTTAGCATGTATCAGTAGTTCATTCTTTATGCCAAGTAGTTCATTCTTTGTTCTTTTAATCCAGTGTATGTATATGTTTATCTATTTACCCATTAATGAATATTACACTAAGGGAGAGAAGCTAGAAAAACATCAAAAAAAAAGTACATACTATGTGATTTCATTTATATCAAAAACTAAAGAAAACAAACTTCATCAGGGCGCCTGGGTGGCTCAGTTAAGCGTCTGACTCTTGATTTCAGCTCAGGTCATGATCTCAGGGTGGAGATTGGGCCCTGCATTGTCTCTGTGCTCAGTGCAGAGTCTGCTTCATATTCTCTCTCCCTCTCCCTCCTGCTCACTCTCTGTCTCAAATAAATAAATTTTTAAAAATCTTTGGGGGCGCCTGGCTGGCTCAGTCATTGGGGTCTGCCTTTGGCTCGAGTCATGATCCCAAGGTCCTGGGATCGAGCCCCGCATCGGGCTCCCTGCTACGCGGGAAGCCTGCTTCTCCCTCCCCCACTCCCCCTGCGTGTTCCCTCTCTCGCTGTCTCTCTCTCTGTGTCAAATAAATAAATAAATAATCTTCAAAAAAAAATAAAATAAATAAAAATCTTTGGAAAAAAGAAAATAAACCTCATCTATAGTGATAGGAAGGAGATGAGTGGCTCACTGTACCTAGGGTTTGGGAGAGGCTTGACTGAGAAGGAACACAAAGGATCTTTTAGGGGTAATGGAAATGTTTTAAATCTTGATTGTGGTGGTAGCTATTAAGTTTGTCAAAACTCATTGAAATCCATATGTATGTGTGACGGATGCATTTTATTGCATACAAACCATACCTCAATGAAATTGATTTTTGAAAAATGCTATTGAGGCTTCCAAATGAGAGAAATTGTATCTGTTTGAGTTGATTAGGAAAAGGTTCTTGGAGGTAAGGAGTAAGGGAAAGTTCCTCAAAAGGGAGATTAAAGGGGCACCTGGGTGGCTCAGTCAGTTGGGCGTCTGCCTTTGGCTCAGGTCATGATCTCAGGATCCTGGAATCGAGCCCCACATCGGGCTCCCTGCTCAGCGGGGAGTCTGCAACTTCCTCTGCCCCTCACCCCCCGCTCATGCTTTTTCTCTCAAATAAATAAATAAAATCTTAAAAAAAAAAGAAAGGGAGATTAAGATTTCACTATGCAGAGATGAAAGACATTTCTAGAGTAGAACATAGCAAGAACAAAGTATTCTCAGGGAATAGGAAATGTTTACTAGATTTTAATAGTAAGCTTTTAATGTAATTGTGAATCAACTTCAGTTCAAATATTAGAGTAAGCAGATTGGGTAGCCTCTAGAGGCCTTTTACGTGAAATCTAGGGGTTTTTTTAAGTTTTTTTGTTTTTTTTTTTTGACAGAGAGCAAGAGCAGGAACACGAGCAGGGGGAGTGGGAGAAGGAGAAGCAGGCTTCCCACAGAGCAGGGAGCCCGATGCGGGGCTCGATCCCAGGACCCTGGGATCATGACCTGAGCTAAAGGCAGATGCTTAACAACTGAGCCACCCAGGTGCCCCGAAATCTAGGTTTCTTGATAATGAACCTATAGACAATGAAATGTATTATTAAAATTTTTTTTCATTTTAATACATATTCATTGAAGAAATTTAGAAAATATTTTAGAAGCATGAATAAAATTAAAATCACCCATAATTCATCAGCCAGTTGCTCTTACCTCATTGAGATTGGTCCATCTTTTTCTGTGCATATTCATATTATGGGCATTTTTCTATGTTAAACATATTTTTAAGTGTACGGGGTTTTTTTTGTTTTTTCTGTTTTTAAGATTTTATTTATTTGTCAGAGAGAGACAGAGAGCACAACTAGGAGAGCAGCAGAGGGAGAAGCAGGCTCCCCACTGAGCAGGGAGCCTGATGTGGGGCTCGATCAGGACTCTGGGATCATGACCTGAGCCGAAGGCAGCCGCTTAACTGACTGAGCCACCCAGGCGCCCCTAAGAATACGTTTTTAAAATTGAATTTAGCTGCAAAGTGTATAGAAAAGGTAATTGCGAATTATTCATCAATTACTTTATTATTTGCCTACTTTTTTTTTTTTTTTTAAGCTCTCAGATGTAAAGGATGGAGTAAATCAAGCAGCACCTGCATTTGGATTTGGCAGTACACAAGCAGTAACATTTGGATCACCAGGTAAATGATAAAGTAATGCAAGACTTTGTCAATTTTAGAAACATAGGATTTTAGAGGTTTTATTTTATTTTATTTTAAAGATTTTATTCATTTATTTGACAGAGAGAGAGAACAAGTAGGCAGAGAGGCAGGCAGAGGGAGAGGGAGAAGCAGGCTTCCCGCTGAGCAGGGA